ATTTATATTTCTTTCCCACCTCAGTACTGTATTTGGCTTGATATTGTTGCTGTTGTACATACAAGTATAGGCACATGCATTGATCTGCGAGGGTTTGTGTTTGGAGCTCCAGCAACCTGTTGAGGTTCGTGTTGTTTATAAATTCGTGGTCTACGGATACAATGGTCTGGCTGGTACATCGTAGAATACTAGGACCCCTTGAACGATTCTGTCGGTCGTTCCTAAGTTCACCAATTGAAGACATGTGTGTGTCAAAATGTGTCAAAAATACAGTGTTGACAAAACGGTTGGTATCACCGCTGTCGGATATTTTGCACAAGCCAAAATTGGAGGATGGACTGTTGGCTAATATCTCTTTCTAAATAAATAAGCCGGAAATAGCGAAACCCTTGTACAAACCAACGGCACGAAATTATAGCATGTTCAACCAAAATATCAGCGACATAACGAAAACGCAAACGACGAGCGAGAACTCAACTTCTCGTTATTTGTTATCGCCACGGACAAAACTGAGGGCAGAGAACAACTATTAGGTTGGATTTCGACAACGATCTGAGACAAAGAACTCACGGAGGACGTAAACCAAAGGACGACGAAGGAGACGCCATTGAGTATTCATCTCGCGATATCTTGAGAAAACTGCAAAATCTGACAAATCTGGAAAATAAAAGTGCAACTTTAAAGGGGAAGTTCACCCTAAAATCAAAATCAGATATGTTATTGGGAAAAATCAGCTGAGTCGATTGGTGTATGTCTCGTCTCCATCCGGTGACTATAAGTATAACCGGAGATATACGCAACTGAAATATCACTTTGATCCCCGGTTTTTGGCGCCGCCATGGCGTTACGAATCTGTGACGTCAAAGAGATAGAGGAGCTCCTGGAGCTCGGAACTTTTACTTGGAGTTGGACGGAGAACTTTAGGGTTCACGGATTGGCATGCTAGCGTCGCCAGCTACATCATGCACGTGACAGGCGCGTGCATATACTGTCCCACACAATCGGTCAGTGCTCAAATCGCATTTTCCCATCAATATCACTCACTTTCAACTCTACGGGATTCATTACGGTTGGCTCAAACTGCCTGAATTTTTGAATCCACACGCACGAAAGACGTTCCAAGACTTCCACCGTTCGTATTTTTTCAAACGAGTGCCGGGTTTTCCAGTAACTTTGGCCAAAGTTCGGCTAAAAAAACAGGGGAGCCGTTGCGTTTCCGTAAAATACTGAACGGTAGAAGGATAGCCAAGGTCGAGAGCAAAACAACAAGCCATTATTTGTCAAAATCGAACAAGAAACGGCTCAGCGCATCTATTTTCCGTGCACGCGCGCGCGTACTTTGGCCGACAAGGTGTGGAGAATTTCTGAAGAAGAAGAATAACAAGAGCAGCAGCGCTCGGAACAGCCGTGCTGGATACTTCCAATCCCGACGATGGAGCGTGTTGGCTGTCGTGAGCTGCTGAAACGACCATGACATTTCTTTTTCTTTGTATACCCTAGATATCTTGACGTGCCCTAGCTCAGTTTCGGCCTCTTTACTTACATTTCTTCCATGGCATCAGCGGCCAAACAGCAAGAAGAGCAACAGATCGAGATTTGCAGGGCAAACAAAGGATGCGTGCAGCTACATCTAGTCAGGTTCGATGCAGCTGCGCTTTGCCAGAACCTCAGCAGATAAGAAAAGACGACAGAGTGTCTCAGATGGAGCTGGATCTTTCGCCAAGACCGCCACCCCCGCCATCATCAAGTCCAGGTCAGTCAGAAAAATGCAAAGCCCGAGTGAAGTGAAGCCACTGAAGCCAAGGAAAAATTCAAAAAGTACGCTCTCCGGCTAGACTTCGAGTCGATATTTTTTTACTTCGATAGGCGCTGTCGCGGCCTGTAACGCGCGTCCATAATCCAAAATGGAGGCGCACGTGACGGGTGCTTTTAGTGGCAAGCCGTGAACCCTAAACTTGGAAAGTGAAGTCGTGAATGTCCAATGCGGAAAGTCAAGCAGTATGAGGCTCAGAGCGGAGACGATTCAGGGTAGGTCTACCTCCTTGTCAGGAGATGACAGTGACTCCGAGGAGAGCGAGTTGGACGCCAGCGAAGGAAGCGGAGTATACCGAGGATGAGATCATGCAGATGGCGAGTGCGGAGCAAGTTGGTGTAAATGCTGACGAAACTGCAGCGGCTGCTGCCGACACTGACCCTGCTGCTTGCTTAGAGGACTGCTGGCCACCTGCCGATCGCGTTGGCAATACGTCCTGCTATGAATGTGGCAAATGCGTCGTTCAATTATTGCGGAACGACTGCATTTGCTGCAAAGATGTTCCGGAATCGGCAGCCGCGGATTGGTTACTGAGTCTGGCTGCATTACTTGCACCTCACAGTTCGAGGAAGGCTGCAGCAACCAGCACGCACTGTACATTGTACTGCGTGGCTATTTGGGCAAGATCCATCAGCAGGCCGGATCGAAGCCATCTGAGTTTGGAAACCGGTACGTGCTAATAGTGTAATATTGTCGTCGATTTTGCATCGGAGAACTGTATTTTCTCATCAAAATTTTAAAAATACTGTTCCATGGTGCAAAAATATAACCAGGATATTGGCTTGTATACTTCTTCAAAAATTTGTTGTTGTAGTGTGCTGCTGTTGCACTGAAATGTACGTTGACATGTGAGACTAACAGCAGGAAGATCTACTCCCTTGTTCCCCAAAGCAGCTCGCACCGTTACGCAGCATACCGACAATACATATGGCTGATGTTCGGAAAACTTGGCCAAGGAGTCCGGTGGAACACCTGCATAATGGACAAACGGCAAAGCAATCATAAGCTGTCACTATTTGTAGTCAGCCAGGTGCTTGCACGTGTGTGTGTGTGTGTGTGTGTGTGTGTGTGTGTGTGTGTGTGTGTGTGTGTGTGTGTGTGTGTGTGTGTGTGTGTGTGTGTGTGTGTGTGTGTGTGTGTGTGTGTGTGTGTGTGTGTGTAGCTGTATGGTGTAGACCAGGCTGAATTGTGACGGTCAATTCTTCAGCCTTGCAAGCTGTTGAATGGTGCAATTCCAGCACAAGTTGCTATGGCTTCTGCCGTAGCATTGCCATCATTGCCTCCGGCGATTGGCGTCAAAGGTGTGTGTGTGTGTGTGTGTGTGTGTGTGTGCGCGCGCACGCCCGCACGTGTGTGTGTTTATAGCAAAAGAATAGTCATGAAAATGTACTGCCAGTGTTGCAAGCATATGTACGTGTGGATTTGATCTACACAGTGGGTACCATAACATCACCTCTAAATTTCCCGTGTGCTGACGGGGGTCTGTGTGCACGCATCAGCAGATATCATGCCATCGTCTGGACTCAATGCGCATGCAACTGGAGACCGAAAAGCTGCGGCATATGGCTCAGAATAGGCTTGAGCTAGGATCATACTCGCAAAATACACGCAGATAACAGTGACAATGCAACACAATAAAGACTTTCTTGGAATTGAAACTTACCAAGCAGAGGACAGAGCTAGTGACCACTGTATGCCTTTTCACGACATGTAAAACTTGAATTGAAATAAAACAAAAATATATCGCACGATCTTCTGTCTTCATTCAGTACCTTGCAATCAACACACTGCAAACAGCTTTGTACCGGTATCTGTAAATAATTTTCTCTACAAGTATACGATGTACTCAACACAGTGGGTGAAACTGCCCTCTCCAACTCGCGATGTACAGACAAAATTTCAACACGCTCTCAAAGCACGAAATCACCAGAACCATTCACTCACCTCTTCTCTCTCCTGCCTCTCCTGATACTGCGACATCCTTCGCTTCGCTGGGGGACGCCTGTCCGGGAAAATCGATGGCACAGCGTCTGCTTTCAGCTTTCGGCGGCACGTTTTGCCCATCTCTCCGTGCAAGTTCCTCTGGAAGGCATCTCCTCAAAATGTGCCGAACAAATTGCACAGCTCTCCTCAAACTTATTTGGCAAATTCTCGCGGTGAATCGTTGCAACCCATTCCGCTCGGAGAGCTTTATCCCACGGAATACGATGCACCGTGGTCCCAGGGGGCTTGCCAGACTGGTTAGAGCAGCCGACAGCACAGCAAACCGTCATCGTGGTTGAAACTGTTCAGGTCGCAAGAAAGAAACTCCACAAACGCCACTCTTTCTCGCTCACTGAAAAGCAAGCAGACCGGGAACCTCTATCTCTTTGACGTCACAGGGTGTGGAGGGGGTGTGCGCCGGCCGCATGACGTCATTTTGCATGACGTCATGGTAAATTTCAAATTCAAATATCTCCAGAACGGCGTATCGCACGGCGATGGGACCTTCACCACCGAACTCAGCGCCTCGAAATCTACAAACTGTGAAATTTTGATTTTAGGGTGAACTTCCCCTTTAAAGGGGAACTCCGGTCCAAAATCACCCCCATTTTTTATTGCGGAATCCATTAGAGTATGTCGTAAGTGGTAGAATGGCGAAAACCAGAAGCTTCTACGACAAGGATAACATACCTAAATTACCAATTGCGATTTTCCATATTTGGCACGAGGGGGCCCCCGCCCAGCTGTGACGTAAAACGTTCTCAGTGACCTCCAAATTTTTTTATTCAAATGGTAGACCTGCAGAAATTTTGAAAAAGGTATTCACTGTTTTTTCGTATTCATTCGATCATCATGTTGGAGGAAGAGGAGACCACGGGAGGTATGGAGGTGGACGCCACTTCGGATTCAACAACACCGAGGCCTTTTAGGTTCGAGCCGAAGCGCGCATCAGCGTCTGCGAAACTGTCTACAAGTAATATTTCTGAGACTAATAATAATAATAATTCGCGGGATTCGCGTTGGCATCGCTTGATTGAATGTTCAGAAACACACAAACTAGCCTTCGCTTCCGCAGGCCACCACTATGCCTATGCCTTGCACACCTGAGTGGCGAATGCAGACCTCACAAGTGAGTCAGGGGAGAGTAGGTGAGTCTCTCAACCAATCGGGCGTGTAACGGGCCATAACCCTGTAAACTGCATCCTTGTTACCCTCACTCCGAGCTGTGAGTACCCAGTTGACCGTGGGTGTCGGCGCAGTTCACCACGCATAAAGAGTCTTTACTCACGTAAAAAGTCTTCACACGCTCCCTGCTACCAGCGCGGGTCTCGAACTCGGGACCTCATGATTCGCAGGCAGGCCTGCAAACCAATCGGCCATATGCGTTGGTACTTTCTGTTTCTGAGACTACAAAACAGATGAACGTGAAGAGAACGCTTTGGTTGCAAGTGCTCGCGTGAGAAGCACTGCTTCATGCCGTTGCGGACAATGCAGCATGATGTGGAGCGAGGTCGAGTCGACTTGTTGCTGGGAGGTTCCTGCAGCTTTCAGTAAACGCGGCGAGCAGGAAGGGCTGCAGTGCATCATGCAGCACTCAGAGTTTGCTGTTGTTTGCCTGCAAAAATCAGTGCTCGAGGTGGCATTGCTTTCCTTCGAAGAATTTCGGGCAAGGTGTGGACCGTGGTCAAACAGGTGAGGATTCACTGAATCGGTTTCATTATTTCCTTTCTTTCCATGTTTCATGTACCGGTACAAAATACTAGTAGATGGGAAGTGTTGTGCAATGATTTTGTGTACAGTATTCAATTTCACCAACTTCCATCACACAATCATGAAGTTCTATTGCACCCATGCCAATATAATTATACTGGTACACGATGTCTTTCATTCATACTATTCCTAGCACTGAAAGTGTTTCAACTGTGTGTAAAAGTGATGTAAATTTGAAAAAAGGCCAAAGTGTCTTTAGTATAGTAGCCCGTAGAAATATTAATTCGAATCCGAAACTATTTACACTGAAACTATTTACTTTTACACAATCATGAAGACACTCGTGGTATGTGTATCTACATCTCTCCAACTGTTTTGTGCAGGATTTGGAGACATGTGGCGTATAGACAATACACATGGTTCACCCATGGATACTTTGGACGCAAGCAGCGGCGTGTGATACCGTCTTGCGTGGTATAAGCGTGATAAAGCAGCTGTACCAGAAGCCAATGCAGATGCGCACTGGGGCTTTGAGGAAGCAGTTGGACATGATGATGATGATAATGCTTCTTGGCCTGGTTGACGTTCACATAATCATTGGTACATGTGCATGCAGAATGTAGAAAACAGTTGACAGACACGATTTATAACTATTCTTGACTCGGGCAATATTTGTGTTTTCGGGTGGGCGCATGCTTTGCACCAATGCAGCTGCAGGAACAATCTGGTAAAGTTGACAGATACAATGGCACAAGACTGTACTGTGTTCGGGAGCATGGGGTTGTGCCGGTGCCGTGTGCCGTTGCGAATGCCGAGAATGGTTGTATGCACATCGTTCAACAGGTCCTTCAAGAAGTTGCAGGACATTGTCGTGCAGCTTCTTGGCCACTTTGTGCTCTTGGTGTATTCCAGCCTGTACCTGAGCACACCCTCCTTGGTTTTGGCGTGCGCTCTCCCTATATTGGCATTGTGGGACAGACATGCCGACTGTACCCGTGCTCTCATGCCATTGTACGAAAAGTGGACACGTTTTGGTGCCCACTTCAGTATGACAGCATGGAAAATTTCCAGACTACAAATCATACTGTACCCTGTATTTGTGGCAGTGTAGCTGCAACCGGAAAGTAACGCAATGGAAACTTACAGATAAAGAGAACCGAAATAACACACATGATAACGTTCCATGTACATTACATCAATTCTCGACTTCACTGACTAGGATTTTGAGTAGAGGACTTTGAGTAGGACTGTACTCTGTAGTCGTTTAGAGCTACGTTCTGGACGGCACAAAATCATGCCGTTCACTTACCTCATCGTGCTCACGTTCCTGGAAGTAAATCGAAGATGGTCTGCTTTTGCTGGCAGCAGAGGTAGAGGAGCTACTAACTATTAGTATGACATGCACCGCCAAGTTCAGGATGGCAGAGACCCTGGCTTCAAGCGTCGCTGCTGCTTCTGCTTATAGCCACCAATGCTTTGTGCAAACTCTTGTTGGAAATTTCTTTCATAGCACATCTCAGTGAAATGCTCAGTGCAGACACGATTATTTTTCGTCGGAGAAAAATCCTTCCAACATACTCTCCATAGCCAAGCTGTCGTCAGGTTCGCGTCAGCCAGAGGAAAGCCATGCTACGACAGCCCGCAGGCGCCTCTTTCTTCGTGACATTGTTGCATCCAGAGACGCAGCAGCGAGTCGTGACAATAAATCGGGCATGGCACAGAACAACAAGCACTTCAACAATGGCCAAGGACTTTTCATTCTTGCTTCAATTATTTGAAAATTTCATCTGAGTGGACCGGGCTGAGAACGTTTTACGTCACAGGGTGGGAGGGGGCCCCCTCGTGCCAAATATGGAAAATTGCAATTGGTAATTTAGGTATGTTATCCTTGTCGTAGAAGCTTCCGGTTTTCGCCATTCTACCACTTACGACATACTCTAATGGATTCCGCAATAAAAAATGAGGGTGATTTTGGACCGGAGTTCCCCTTTAAGACGACTTTTTCTGAACTGGCGCACGGACTGTACCCCCAGTCCATGCGCCAGATTCAAAAAAGTCGTCTAAAAGTTGACTTTTCATTTTCCGCACTGGGCAGTTTGCGGGTACTTTTTGAGTCGCATTCTCAATGGTGGGCAATTTTGGAAAATGGGTTTGTGTCTATGGCTCGTTAGTTTTGGCATTTCGCTACCTGTGTGGTGAGCCTAAAAATTGCGCTTAGCCGTGGCAATGCAATGGTGTATTCCGTTTTTCAGCCAGATGACTTGTTTCGCTGTGGTCCGGCATCTTCCTAGATTCTCAGCAGTCGTCGAATTTGAGTATTTTCGAAACATTTTTTAGGGTGCAGGCGTGGGGCAAGGCTCTCACTCCCAGCCAATGGCACCATTTGGCATAACTCAGCCCTATGAACACGTCACCAGGCCCTCGTTAGTGTCCAGCCCATATTTCCAAAAAATGGACTGGACTTGAAACTTGAGTGTACAGACAGTACTATGCATTATGCACGTAATGACCGTATGCAATAATTCTCGCAAGCTACACGACAAGGACTCGCTGCAGAATAACATAATGATATTCACACCATATGCCATTGTGGTGCACCGTGATACCAATGACAGCATATTTATCGGTGATCAATTGCCTACTGAGTCGCTCCGTTGCCGAGAACGTCAACTTTGCGGACTGCGGAATGACCCGCGACACCGCCAACCACCCTGACACAACGCCAAATGCTGAAAGAGCTGACTGATACGGTACCTAACAAGTTAACTGGATAATGCTTATCTTCAACAAAACCAGGGCATAAAACAGTGCTATGATAAACTACCTCCAGTCACCGGAAACAAATACAGTGCATTACGCATACGGATAGAGATTGCACTAGTACATGTATAATAGTATACCAATCTTAGAGTAACAAAACAAGTTATCGGGTCTATACCATCAGAGTTGGCAGCTATATGTATTGGATTCTCCTGGTGTGCAGAATGATGCTGGTGGCGTGGTTCATATCCACTGTTGGCTTGCTGTCGTCGGGGTCAATCACAGTACTTTCACTATCTCACGTCTAAGGCATTTTATAGTCCATATGGCTTGGATCACAACGCCATAATTATCCACACGAGAATGGTAATAAATCCAGATTACTAAGGCCTTCTTCATTGCAGTTGGCGCAATATGTTCACGGGCTCGCGTCTCCGACCTCCAAACTGTAATTATAGTTGGCTAGTCTGTTGTTTATTGGCAGACAAGAATTGTGATGCTTCTTCAAATAGGCATTTAGCGATGTCTGTCCATGACATATTCAGCATTGCTGTGTGTGGAAGGAAAGGTGCAACAACATTAGATTGCTGCTGGCCATAGACATCAAACTGCAACATCTGGGCTTCAGCTGTCACAGGTCCATTGACAGAGAGACTGCCGCATATTGCACATACTGCAAACTATTGACTTCATGCCATTGCCTCATGGATCAGAAGTCACCACACTGAAAGAAGAACAGCAAAGGAAAACAGAACTGATGCAGTTAATTGGCTGCAACAAATTTGCTCCTTCATTTCATTCGACGACTCTTGAATTTGATAGTCGTGCAATGCAAGAAAAAAGTCAGAGAGCAGGATCTAGGGGAGCTATTAATGGGTATGCACCAGTGCTGTGGTGCCTATAATAATTAGATGCTCACAATTTCACCACAATCATGCACATTATACTGACATATTTACACTATGCAACCTAGTAGTCAACAAATTCAGAAAAAAACTAGTATTTCAGCTGGTGAAATATCCCACCTCTATCCCCTAAGCTCAAATGTCCCTGTAAAATTGATAAAGGATTGGTAGATGCTCACTCGGAGTGGTGTTTGAAAAGTAACACAACAGTTCATGACGAATTAGAGCATGCTCAATTGTCTCTTCTCATAAAATCACAATATTGCCTGTGCGTGGTTTATTTCGGGTGCAATTGTGGGGCACATAGGTATCACTCTAATTTCTTGTGCATTCGAAAGATAAAGCTTTGTTCTATCACCCCACAAAGCGGCTTTAGTGTCCGCGATGGGTAAATGCCTTACCTGGTGTGAAATTGGTGACCATATTTCTCGTTTCAGCCATTACCAAAGTGAGACATTCGTCCTTGGTGGCTGCTCACGAACTGCAAGCTCCGAAATAATTTTCCAGGGTACGGCCATAGGTGTCTACATCACTCCGAGCCATCTCTTTAGTGTAGGAAAGGTCTCCTGACGAGACTAGAAGGGCTCTAAGCAGCAAATTTCATTGAAATATTCACCATTCGGAGATAGGCGAAATCAACAGAAAACAAGCCCGCAGGTGCGGCGCCTTGGAGGCTACGATTCCCGCGAGAAAATGAAAATCGGTCTCTCAAGGGCCTTGGCGCACGGACTGCCCCTAGCAGTAGTTCGTACGTACACACTTCATAACCATATTTGACCCATTTCCCCGCTGCCCGGCATGCCCCTGCATGCAATAATTAGTACCAATAAAATAGGAGAGCACCTTTGTGTCATTATTGCAATTTTCGCTGTTTACTTTAGCTATCTTCTTTCTTTCTTTCTTTCTTTTTGCGCTGTTTTACCACCTTCTTACTGTATTTAATCCACTGTTCCTGTTCCTTTTCCCTTGCCTGTATTTCACCTGATGAGAAGGCTTGAAAGTATACTTGTGAAGACAAAAACTTTCAAGATGTTTGTAATGAGCCTGAAGTGTGTCCTTTTTATGAGTATTATCGCATTTTTGTCTCAGAGGAAACTGTAAAAATTTTAAAAAATAAATTTTTCAATTCTCCGATTTAATAGGAGAATTGAAAAATTTATAACATCCTATGCTTTTAAAGCGGGATTCACAGAAGCTTTTTTGCGATGCGACGCGATCTGCGATGGATGCGTGCGATGCGAACTCGCGAAATACCATTCACAGAAGAAGTCAGCGATGCGACAAATTCTTGCTGATTTGGGTACGTCACCACATACTACTGCCGTCACTAGGTCCCAAATCTCTTTTTCTCTGGCCTTGCCTTCTGCCCACACTAAAGCTGGTTTTTCTCGTCTTGGCTACATAGGTTCTGATCGGTGGAATATGCTGCCTTCCACTGTTCGCTCTTGTACAGATTATCGCCCATTTGTTCGTTCATGCTTAACCTTTCTAGGGGCTCCCGTAAGGGCCTGGTCAGACTGCGGCAAATCTTGGTTGCCTGACGAAAAAAGAACAGCGTCCAGAATTTGAATCGCGATCACACTACGGTTGCGTTTGGTTGGGCATTTTCGGAATGTAAATGACAACCATTCTGGAATGGGAATCGGCAAGAATCACCTGACCAAACTAACGCGCCAGAATCAACTAGGAATCACTTGACAAAACAATTCCATGATGTCGTTGTGGAACGGCGGCTGTCTTTTCTTTTACCCGACTCTAGTTTCCTTGAGAGAGTCATGGTACTTCTGAGGGCATGATTTGAGGCACTTGAACCTGTTGCTACATTGTTTGGCTCGTGGCAGCCATTATCATTTTTGATTCCGGAATGAGAATGCTCATTCCAGCATGTGAGGTGGAATTAGGCCTTGACGGATTATGCTAGCATAATTTTTCGCATAATTCCTACCAAAATCGAATAATCGCATAATTCGAGGCAAATTGCATACGAATCGCATA